ATTACAAGTAAATTATGCAAAAGTACAACTTATCAAAGCTCGATTTTTGAATTCGTATAACTAATTGCGGATAAATATAATCAAATGGAGAATAAACATCTTATTTTAAAATATAAAAAATCTAAAATATAATTAAAATAATTATCGAGTTCTAACAAAATAATTTATTATTATCTCTATAAGAAAATTATATTATTAAACCAAATATAAATTACTTCGTTAATGTACCTAAATTAAATTATAATAAAAAATTGAATTAAAAAATTACACAAAAAATGAGGAATTTTAAATTGTTAATTTGATAAGAATATCGATATATTTTTGTTATGCATAAAGTATTGTATATTGATGCATATTACTTAAAATTCAAGATTACAAGTAATTATGCATAAGTACAACTTATTAAAGCTTGATGTTTGAATTCGTATAAATAACTGCGGATAGACATAATCAAATAGAGGATGAACATCTCATTTTAAAATATAAAAAATCTAAAATATAATTAGAATAATTATAGAGTTCCAACAAAATAAATTATTATTATCTTTCAAAAAATATATATTATTAAACCAATATAAATTACTTCGTTATTGTACACAAATTAAATTATAAAAAAATTGAATTAAAAAATTATACAAAAAATAAGGAATTTCAAATAATTAATTTGATACTAATATCGATATATTTTTGTCAAATTTTGTATGATATCTTCAAACATATATTTATTCAAAAATAAAAACATCATCGCTTTCTCAAAATCACATAAAGTCATATTATAACATCGATTAAAATAAAGAATAAAATGAAATATTAAAATCACGATGTATTTCGCTGCATTGCGCGGGTACACTTCTGGTTATATTATAAAGTATTTGACAAAAACTCTTACAACCATTTTTTATGCATGAAGTACTGTGTATTAATGCATAACTATTTAAAATTTCAAGATTACAATTAATTGTGCCTAGGTACAACTTATTAAAGCTCAATTTTTGAATTCGTATGTATAACTGCAGATAAACATAATCAAATATAGGATAAACATTTCATTTTAAATATAAAAAATCTAAAATACAATTAGGATAATCATTGAGTTCTAATAAAATCATTATCTTTATAAAATTTTATTGTTAAGACGAAAATAAATTAATTCACTAAATCGTAAAAATATTATCTTTCTCAAAATCATATAAATCTTATTATATCTATAAAAATAAAAAATAAAACAAAATATTAAAATAAAAATATATCTCACTGTGAGTATTCTTCTGATTTTATTTAAATAATATTAACATTTATTTTGTAACCTGAAAGAGTATATGATTATAATATAATATAATATTTTTGCATACAAATGGCCAAACACCTCGGTAGTTTTGTTGAATACATTTCTTTCTAAACCACGGAAGCCTTCGTAAATTTCAATGCTTATTTTTTCCATCTTCTCTGTTTCTTTCATCCCCGCCATCTTATTTGATTCGCTTCTTCTGCAAGAAAACTAATCACAATTCTCTCTAATCTCACGCCGGAGATCCAATTTCACCCTCATATTTGCGGCCGTCGGAAGGAATCTCCATCACCCTTGTATCAGTCGACGCTTTCTACAGTCGGCTCAATTTTTTTTATCATGAATCCCGAGTAGTAAGTCCTTGATTTCCCTCCTTTTAATCTCGTTGTAATTTCTTATTTGAATTCGGACTTTTCATTGGTATATTCTATTGTTTTCTTCCTGAAATTGTTGTTTGGATCTGTTTCAATTATTAATTTTTACCAATGTTAATTAGCTTTCTTGGGATTAGCTTTTCGTTGTTGTGGATTTGGATGATCCAAGCAAATCTTTACTTTTTTCAAAAAATTCGATGGAATAGTTGTTCTTTAAATATATTAAACGTCTACAATTTAGCAGTTAATGTGTAAGAGAGTTATGTGTGGATAATTTGTCGATGTTTCGTGGGGAACTAGGGATCGGAAGTTAACATTATTATTTAGGCATATAAGTAAGGAAAAGGAAGATGCGTTACTTTTAATGTGCCATGATTGAATTAATGGTGAAGCTTTGAAGTCGGTTGATTGAGAATGATGCAAAGTAGCGTTTGATGGCAAATAAACATAATGTGTTTCTGATTTTGATGTTAAATTGCAATATGGGTCCTTCAATGCATGTTCTCGTTGTCTCAAACTGGTGGAAGTTAGTAGAGAATCTAAATAGGTCGTGATACCATGTCTTGAAACTCTAGTAATGTTTGAACAAGCACATTACGGAGAAGAATTAAGATATACTAAATCGCAGAAGCTCAATGACAACAGGAGCATGCCTGGGTAAGTACCAATATTGACATGAGTCATGGTAAACCATAATTAGGAAAGATGTAATTATTTTTGGCCTTGCAAAGAAGCTTGTTTTTGTATAATTATCAATATGTAGCGCAGTAGCTGCTATAGGAGAAGCCAAATTCAGTGATGTTCTTTTTGTCAAACTAAAGGTTTTTCTCTAAAGCATAAGTGTTAATTCATGGACTTCAAGAGTGTGTTATCCTTCAAAGAAATGGGAAATGGGATCAAGCTAGGGTCGGTTATGAGGGTACTCTTGAGAGGAAAGACTTTAATAAAAGGTGCTTACTAATGGTATGTAGCAGAGGCGCCCTTAATTGTTGCATTCCGGGATAGAGAATCACAGTGGCAAAATATTCTATGTCAGGAATATGGTGATTCATATTGATGAGACTGAACCTTGCCTATTACATTATAGGTAGCAAAAACTGTTGCTAACAAGGGTTGACTGGGTTACTGTTCTCAAGTATACCATCATGTTGATAGTCTTGAGACACTTCAGGAAGTTGCATAATGGTTCTTATAATCTTATAGATGTATAACCTATCCAACTTTGTCCAAAAATATATACCTTTCATATCTAACAGTGAATACGTGCCATGTTTTATGCAGCGATTACTTGTTCAAGCTTTTGCTGATTGGAGATTCAGGAGTTGGCAAATCTTGTCTTCTGCTTAGGTTTGCTGTAAGTAAATAAGCCACTGATGTCCTGTCATTTCTAAGTAGTTCACTGCTTCTCTCACAACTCAATTATCTATTTGAATGCAGCATGTTGGTCCCGTTTCTCTCAACTAAATATGATATGCTATTTCTAGTTTGATGTTTCATAACGTATCCCATTCAGCACTTCTATTGCAGTGCACAGCATTGTTTTCCTTATCAGAGTTTTAGTATCCCTACTCCATGTCTGTATTCAAGTACATCATCCATTTTCCTCCTGAATTAGTCGGGTAAAACGGAAATCAGTAAAAGAATCTAAAAATTCATGGTAACAAAGATGGTTGCTCCTTTATTGTATGGTAGTATATGCTGCTTAATATACAGTGTTCTTATTTTTTACGCATTGGTCTCTTTTGTACAGGATGATTCATATCTTGACAGTTATATCAGCACAATCGGTGTGGACTTTGTAAGAATTTAAACTTGTGCACATAGAGTTGTATAAATTGACATATGTAGTATTTTGTAATGGTTATCTTTGTGTATACTCAAGGTTTTGATTCTTTGTCGTCTCTGCAGAAAATTCGCACCGTTGATCAGGACGGAAAGACCATTAAGCTTCAAATTGTGAGGGTTTTCTTTTACAAATTTGTAATTTTATCTTCTACTTGGTTCCTAAACAAAAATCATGTTATCTCTTTCCACCTCTCGTTCTTTGGAACATGCAGTGGGACACTGCTGGACAAGAAAGGTTCAGGACGATTACTAGTAGCTACTATCGTGGGGCTCATGGCATTATAGTATGTTTCTTCTAATCCTTAGCTGTCAACTAAAAGAAAACGAAAAAAAAATCATGCATCTTTTAGCTTTGAGCACCAGTAATTTCAGTCTTGGTTCCACTTTTTGATGGTTTTGTATTTGGATTTTTGCAGATAGTTTACGATGTTACTGACCTAGAAAGTTTCAATAATGTTAAGCAATGGTTGAGTGAAATTGACCGCTATGCAAGTGACAATGTAAACAAACTTCTAGTCGGTAACAAGTGTGACCTTGCTGAGAGCAGGGTTGTGTCATTTGATACCGCAAAGGTACACATTTATGTTTCTTTGTCATTCTAATACACCCATTATTGGGGTTGTCCAATTTGTCGATTCCTACACCATGAATAGTTCTTGTGGAAGTCAGGTCCCCTAAATTCTTTTTGGGCTCCTATTATATATTAAAAGAAATTGGGTCTCTTTTCTTCTAATTTTTTGGACTACTAGTATATAGTATATGCTACAAAAAAAATAGGGCCCCTATCTTTTTGGGCCCTGTTCAGGTGTCTGCCTCGTCTGCCCCGGGACAACCCTGTTCCCCACAGACAACAAATGGAGTAGTACCCATGCATGGATCTACCCTGGGCTTATGTTTCCGCAGACACTACACAGTGCCGGATTCAACAAATGCAAACCCTTTCTCTCGGTGTGTGTGTGTGTGTGATTTTTTGGCTTATGATTGGATGGGTGATTGAGGTTATTAAACAGGAAGATAAACTTGGTATTACATTTTGGTGATTAGGAATTTGCTGATGAAATTGGCATTCCATTCATGGAAACAAGTGCCAAAGACGCTACCAATGTGGAGCAAGCTTTCATGGCCATGTCTGCTGATATCAAGAACAGGTATACTCCACTTTTCATGGCTTTTCTCACCAGCCTGCATATTTTTTGATTAATATTAGTCACTAGTCCCTCTCTTGTTTGTATGGACACACTCTCTTGCATGTAGCTTGTTCGCTTGTTTCTTTTAAATTTTGTCGTGCAAGCTTTCTACCTCTTGGAGTAGAGGCAAAATCTGCATACATCCTACCCCCTCAGACTTACCTCTGCCTGGATTTACTGGTGCATGTGATTTAATTTCCCTCTTCCCCAAAACAAAAATAATAATAATAGAAGAGACGCAATCCAACTTGCAAGGTCAAATGGACTTATTTTAAAATCTTGATTTTATGTGAAGACCGAAGTCATCAAACTTTCAAGAGAAGTTACCCTAAATTCTATGACAAATGCTTGTGTTAGATGTTGAATTTAGTAACAAAATTGAAATTTGGTTTTAGATTTAAAAAGTTAGTTGGAAATGAATTGATGAAAGCAGAGATCTTAACTGATACCATGGTTGAGTGCAGGATGGCAAGTCAGCCTTCAACCAACAAGAGGCCACCTACTGTGCAGATCAAAGGGCAACCAATTGGCCAAAAGGGTGGCTGCTGCTCATCTTAGGTTATTCTTTCCCTTTGTTTAAACTACCATCCTGCCCATAAATCAATCCTTTGCTTTTCATATCATTTGAAGTCTTTATTATTATTATTATTATTGATTGGGTTGTATCCATTGTAAAGATTGTTTACTGCTAGTGATTAAATGCCTGCAGTTCCAATCTACTGCAACCAGAAAATCCATTTTTGTTTTGTTTGTTTAGATGGGGGAACATTTTGGCAGACTTATAATCCAATTTCAAATAATGTACCAATTTTGGGTAGTCATTTCACTTCATAATGCTTTGACAACATTCCATTTCATGATTTTTTGGTATGTGGGATATACTTTATTCCTTTGTTTTTCTTCCTTCTCTTTTATCATCAATTAATCATTAAGCTGTGGTCATGTATATGTAAACCTCTTCAGCAAGAAAAGCATTAGCTCTGTACCTGGCATGCTTGATCTGGATTTGTAGTCAAATTTGGCATACCACAATGTAACACCCTAGTTTTCGAGATAACATTTCAATCGGAAATTCGACATATGACCTTAATTTGTAATGTCTGTCATTTGCCTGTTTTAATAACCCTTTTAACCCCAAATTTATATGTTTCTTTATATATATTCCGAAACACAGAATGTTACACACAAGTTATGTCTGAGGGTGAAAACTTTTGCGTTTGAGCTCTTGTAATTTGTCATGCAGAAGGTAGTAATACATATATGATGGTCTGAATGGATTGCCAAAGTGAAACTGTTTTAACTCCTATAGTAAATTACAAATTTGGTCCCTGTGGTTCACCTTTTTTACCCACACCGGTCCCAAATCAGAATAAGTACAAAGATGAGACTTGTGGTTTATATTTTTGCACGCCCCTGGACTCGTGGTTTGCATTTCGCACGCCCGGAGTCACTCCTTGTAAGGGGTGCTCAAAATACTGACCAACCCGAGGTAACTCGATGCACTTCTATACTATAGATTTAATATGATTTTAAGTCTTTGATTAACATATATACATTAGACGGTAGAATAATCCATAATTAGCTATATTCAAAAGTATATTACAATATTAACCGTAATTACTTTCTTATTTGCATTAACCTTCAATTTTCTTTTTTGAGTTAGTATTTTTTGTATGTTATCATTTTGATTTTATTTCGTTTAAACACAAACACTTAGCTAGATTGTAAAATGATATAGCAAAGTTTTTACCGGACCAACCGACATGGTTTGGATTGAGTTGTAGTTTTGTTTGGGTTGGGTTGAGATTTTTAAAACTGCAAACATTGAGTTGTTTGTTCAAATGCCTTTAACCCGACCAGGCCAACCGACACATATGCATCTCTACTCCCTGTAACGAAATAAAAGAAGATTTCTATTACCGAGTTAATTCAAGGGACATTTTGGTCCTTTAGAGACATCAAGTTCAACCAATGAAAATCCATCTTTTATCTAGGTTCATATTCATCTTATAATTTAATGACAAAGGTAAATATGTAATTTTAGTTTCTATGTAACTCCCATAGCATTAATTGAGAGTTACAAAATCAAAAAAGTCCCATAATTGTTGTTGATTTACTGTTGATCTTGTTTTTCTATTATATTGATTTATCTATCTATAATGTTCTTGATTTGTGATTGTTAAAGGAGACCCGATAGTAAAGTTTTCGATATCGTTCAAACTAATATGGATAAACCAATTGGAAAACAAATCGACAACAATGGGAAAGTTAAAATGGTTTACGATGACAATCGGACTTCGAGTTTTGGAAGCGAAGACAATAATCAAAGCGTTTGTATTGGTAATAGATTAATATGTTATTGTATTCGTTTTAATCGAAATTATGTTGATTATTAACATTTTTGTGTTTTTTATAATTCATATTGTGTTGGTAGCTTTTTTTTTTAATTATTACTACGAGCTCAATTCATATTGTAAGTTGTATGTTATACCCATGACATGTGTCACCCAGATACACTGCCAACAGCAATGTAAAACTAAAGGGTCGCATACAAAGAACACGTATGCTTCCACTAAAGAAAAAGAATCTAAATATGTGTACCGTTTTGTGATTATTATAATTACACGGTTTAGTCTATAAATATGTATATAATTATCTTAAAGTTTTTAGATAATTATATAAGATATTATTAGATAAATAAATAATCAATTTAGATAATGATTAAGCTTTATTAAAAGTTATGGTCAATCTCGAAGACTGACCATATAAATAAGGCTGATTAAACCAAAGTAGGGGATTGAGTTTCGATAACTAGTTGTAGCCTCAAAACCCTTATGATACAATTATAAAATTAAGATTCTTTGGGTTAGTACCCGGTGGGAGTTCAAAGCGTGTTCGTGTGTGGACAACCGATAGAGGAAACCTGATTTGGTTTCTTAGTGCTACATCAAAGTTTCAATTTCAACCACAAAGGAAATATTTTAAACACCCTATGGTTTGTGTAGATTCGTTTTAATTGTCAAWGGATCCGGCTTTGGATTTTATTTGGAAAAAAAAAATTCTAAACGTTTTTGTAACCGGGTTCTATTTTTCCCCTGCGTTTTATCCGATTATTTTCCCAAACTAAAACTCAACAGTGGTATCAGAGTTACTTTGACAATTATTCCGATTAGTTGGAAGTAGTTAAAACGAAATGTCATTAAACGGGATTTTATTTTTGAAAGGATTTCGAAGAAATCAGTTGGGCCGGTTCTAATAAAACCATATATGGGTCGAGACTTCTTTTGGCTATAATTCTTTGGGCATGTTTTTAAGCCATTTTAAATTAAAATGCTTGAGCTGATTATTAATTAATTTTTTTTAATTTAAATGATTGGGCTGGTTTTAAGTTTTAAACTTTGGGCAAAATTTCGTTTAAAGTTAGGGCTGGTTTAAAATTAAATTATGGACTAATTAAAACCAAATATGTTATTTGAATTTTAATAAAAATCTTGTTAGATTTGATCTTTTACAATCCCCATTAATTTCCGTTGTTAATTATTTTTGTTTTTGGTCAATTATTTAATTTTTTTTAATTGTACCAACTTTTTTTTGTTTTATATTATGTTTAATATTTATATTGTGTAATATATGGATTGCCCCGCCGAGACCCGTGGTTGATTTATTTATTTATTTTTGACAGAAAATTAAAATGTATTAATTGCATGGGTTGTATTTTTAATTTTAATTTTCTAGAGAGGACAAATGTAAATAGAATAGAATTATGTTGTATTTATTTAAATCAACGAAGACGGCATTCCAAAGAAGACGGAGTCCCTGGAGTTCACCAAGATGGCGAGGCCAGTGGGAGCTTGAAGACGTCCTTAGTTTGACCGTGGTTGTTGTGTTGGCTCACAACACCACATTAGGGGCAAATCTATATATTATCTTGTGGTTGTTTATTTTATGTTTGTTTATTGCTTTTATTATTGCTATGATAATTGCAAAACGTTTTAAAAATCAAATGCAAAACAATTTCAAATTGGTAATTAAAATATGATATTTTAAAATGATAATGTTTATCAAAAAAAAAAAAAAAAAACCGATTTTTACGGGTAAACTTTTAAAACAAAAGGATTTTAATTTTAGAGATAAAATCAAACGTTTTAAAAGTAATTAGAAAAATGTTTTTCTAAAATTAAAACCTTTCTAAAACGTAAACTAAACGCCACCCATTTAAGGTACTTGTCAAGTATTACAAATTCCAGTATGATTAGTACCTGACCTGTCATATCGGATGATAATAGTGTGAGACAAGGTGCCGAGACTACGAGATTCAAGTGAAAGTTGCACTTGGCCATTCACTTGAATAGTCGTGTTTTGGACGACTGATCCCATTAAACCTGAATTGAGAAATTAGGTGGGATCATGATACCTTAGTATGGTCAGTGTACTTAAAAATATCATAGTATGTGAATTGACCTTCTATAAGTATTTTTAAGGCGTTGAAGTGAGATTAAACGTGTCTATTTGATATATGATATATTAAATAGAATATCACGATCACCTAAGAGTTATGTGAGCATAATTGGATGATTCCTATCTAAATAACTTATTTCTCAGACAGTGCATTACCATTTGAAGAAATAGATGAAATATGGATCTTAGCTCAAATAAAATTGATTTTTGAAAGGTTAATTTATTTAATTTGAGATTTTAAAAGTCAGACTAAAATCGAACTTGGATATTGTAGAGGTATGCATCCACTCCAAACCCAGACTCAGCCACAAACAACTTGTCCCAATTTGCACTCCGGTCTGTCCTTGAAAAAGAAAAGCTGAACGGGACGAACTTTCTCGAATGGTTTCGCTTCTTAAGGGTTGTCATTAAGCATGAAAAGAAGCTCTACATTCTAGAAAACCCCCTCCAAACGCTCCTGTTAGAACTGCATCCGCTGAAGTCAGGGGTGCCTTCGAAAGACATCAGAATGACTCACTGGATGTGGCATGTCTCATGCTTGCCACTATGACGCCTGAGTTATTAAGGGATCATGAGGACATGACTGCTTGGGAAATAATTTCTTCATTGAAATCTATGTTCCAATAACAAGCCAGGCATGAGAGGTTTGACACAGTCAGGGCATTGCATGCCTGTATGATGACTGAGGGTTCACCGATCGGTACCCACGTCTTAAAAATGAAAGGTATGTTGACCGATTAACCCGTCTTGGTTTCCCACTAAATAAGGAATTGGCAATCGACTTGGTTCTCAATTTTTGCCTAAATCATATGACCAATTTGTTATGAACTACAATATGAATGGTTTAGAAAAGTCTCTCACAGAGCTTCACGACATGCTTATATATGCTAAGAGAAGTATTCCCAAGTTGGAAACCCCTAAACCAAAATAGGTCTTGATGATCAAGCCTAAAGATGGGATAACTAAGAAAAGGAAGGGGGTAGCCAAGAGTAAAACTAAAGTTGGAAGCTCCAACAAGAACAAGGGCAAATGAAAGATTTCCGATGATGCAGTTTGCTTCAACTACAAAAGGGGCACTGGAAGAGAAAATGTCCAACCCTACTAGCAGAGAATAGGAAGAAAAAGGCTGACGCAACTGGAACTTCAGGTATGTTTACCATTGATTTATTCATTTCTGACTACGATTCCTGGGTATTGGATACCGGATGTGGTACTCATATATGTACTACTTCACAGGGACTAAGAAGTGAAGAGATGATGAAACCAGGCCAAATGGAACTGAGAATGGGCAATATGGAGCTAAGGTAGCCGCTATTGCTCAAGGCACATATGATATGGATCTGCCAAATGGCCTCACTTTATCACTTAGCAA